AGCTGCCATTTTATCTGGAGGAACTGATGGCTGTAGTCCGGAAAGGAGTTGTAATTCTGGGGGATCTCTGGCCCCCCACCTGGGGGTTTGCCACCCTGATGTCAGAGTGGGATGGGACATGAATCTAACCCCTGGAATCATCTTTCGGAAAATTAGGTGGACCAACTGCAAGTGTGAGATTTCATGACTGAATTTACGCCCTCAACGCTACCCATATCCTGTTACCTATTCTTTAGTTATTTTATGTATATACCCCCCTAGCCAGATAATCTGTTCCAGTAGTGACTCATAAAGCTACACACGATAAAATCTTTAAAAAGCATACAAATAATTAACATTAACAAACTATTGAACATCCAGCCATTAAAAACCCAGCCAGAGCATCTAAAAATCCGTTACCAATTAATTGTCTGTATTTTGTATTTTTATTTAATGTTCAAGCATACAACCCATACGAAGTAAGTCATGATTATTGAGGCATTCTTATAATGCATTTCTCCAAGAAATCCTGGGAACTCTAGTTTTGTGCAGCTACTGAGACTTCTCTATTTATTTACTTCTCCCTTCTCCCCAACAATCTTCCACAGCAGAGTGAGGATTAGAACCTGAGTCTCCCAGATCCTAGTTGGGTACTCTGACCACTACGCCACACTGTCTCTTTTGCAGAACTACATTCCCAGAGTATAAGGTATATGAAGAAGTGAGCAGTGACTCACGGAAGCTCATCCCCTGCCACAAATGTTAGTCTTTCAGATGCTACCGGTCTCTTGTGCTTTTCTCCTGCTACAGACAGAGAAACACGGCTGCCCACCTCGATCTACATTCCCAGAGTTTTTCTTGGAGAGTAGGAATAATTATCAGAGCAGTTCTGGAACAGATATGCTCTTTAAAATGTCCACTTTAGCTGCTTGGACCCGTTGCCCTGACTCTCGGGCTGGCGAGCGCAGATCCAATCCAAGACCGCTGCTGGAAAGGAAGGGTTAAGGGGCACGTCCGAGGCAGGTGATCATCACGATGTTGGCCGTGAAAACAGCGAGGGCTGGAGGGCGGTGCTCTCTCGGCTGTGTGGGCGGGAGAGCTGAGCTGAAGAGACCCGAGGGAGGCCGGTCGAGATGAGCACCGCAACCCTAGAGTTGGACTCGACTGGCTTTCGAGCAAGGGAACCTTTACCTTTAGGAATAATGATCAGAGCAGTTCTGGAACAGATATGCTCTTTAAAATGTCCACTTTAGCTGCTTGGAACCGTTTCCCTGACTCTCGGGCTGGCGAGCACAGATCCAATCCAAGATCGCTGCTGGAAAGGAAGGGTTAAGGGGCAGCGCCTTTGCGTCCGAGGCAGGTGATCCTCACGATGCTGGCCGTGAAAACAGCGAGGGCTGGAGGGCGGTGCTCTCTCGGCTGTGTGGGCGGGAGAGCTGAGCTGAAGAGACCCGAGGGAGGCCGGCGATTTCCTTTTCTAGTTCCCGGGAGAGCGTAGCCTGGGTGGGTTTGGATTCGGTATCCTGCGTGGTGATGGAAGCTTCCATTAGGAATCCGTCGGGACTGACAGCCGATAGTCAAGCTCAGCAGTTAGAGTCTCCTTACCTTGGTAGTAGTTTTTCCAAAATGTCAAGATCCTCAACTGCTGGCGGATTGACTTGGGGCTGTGAATAACGCTTGTTCGGACATTCCAGATCGGAATAGAGTTACTCTCACCTGAAACAGAAGCCAGAAGAAACCCCCCCCCCCCACGTCTGTTTTAGCCAGAGGCGAAAAAGCTGTGAGCTAGCTCACACTAACTCAGCTTAGAGGGAGCACTGGGGGCCTGTAAACGAGCCTTTATTTTATGCAGGAATTGGCTGTTATCTTTCCTATAATACTATCAATATTCTTGATGTGTTCTAAAGTACCTGGAGACAGGTCCCCGCCCCAAGGAATTTACAGTGTAATTTTTGGAAGAGGTTAAAGCTCAGTGTAGTAATTGGATAGGGGCCGCGGTGGCTCAGTGCTTAAGATGCTTAGCTGCAGACTGGAAGGTCAGTAGCCAGGCAGTTTGAGACCCACATGGCCCCAGCTCCTGCCAACCTAGCAGTTCGAAAGCAAGAAACTGCAAGTAGATAAATAGGTACTGCTTCGGTAGGAAGGTAGCAGTATTCCGTGCGCCTCGGCGTTTACTCATGTCGGCCACGTGACCACGGAAATGTCTTCGGACAGTGCTGGCTCTTCGGCTTGGAAATGGAGATGAGCACCACCCCCTAGAGTCAAGGGAAACCTTTCCTTTACCTTAGTAATTGGATAGGTGGGGATCAAGGGTGTAGACTTTCCAATTTCCCGGGGGGGGGGGCTGGGGCTGGGCAAGGGTGGCTGGAACCAGTTGCCCTCGGGGGAGGCTGAGCACCTTCCTGAAAATTTTGGGAAGGCTGACGCCCCGCCACCCCCACAAACTTTATGCCTATGGGTGTGGTTAGAGCTACTTTTCTTAGGGCCACTACTAATCTACCTAGGGGAAAGTGACCTTATCCCACCATATGCAGGCCTGGCCCTAAAGCAGGGTTATAGTGGATTGTGTGAAGAAAGGTTATAGTGGGTCCCTGTGAACAAATCCCTTCCCTGCTGGCTTTGCCCCCTGTTCTGCCCCCCCTCTTGCCCATTTTGACCAGAGGAGTGGGTCCTAAGCTCTTTCCTCCTCGGCCATTTCTCTGCTCTAAACTATGCTCATCAAATTACTTTCCTGCTACCCTGAGTCTTCTTTTCCAATGCCTGGTTCCAGGGTGAAGTTGACATCTAAAGCTATGAGTATGAAAAAAAGAAAACAAGAAGGGAGTTCCTTTTGGAGCCGTCCCATGTCCCCTTTTTTACAAATACTGGGAAGATCTGATTTCCCAGCATTGCTTCTCTTTTGGCCCTCAGTTGTGTTTTCCAGAAAGTAGTCCTGCTCATCTTTTGCTTGTCTTCATATACCTCCACTGGTTCTTCCCCTGTTGCTTTCTAGGTCCTGTGTAAAAAGTCAGTGGGTTGCTGGGCAGGCATGTTGGTCTGAAGGGAGGGTGGCTGTCTGTGAAAGGGCTGCTGGTCTCTCTTCTCTTCCCAAGTGGGGAAAGTGAAGATCTTTCCCTTCTGGGGAGAAGGGGTATTCTGAGGGGCCCTCTCCTGAGCGAAAGCTTGCAGGTGCCTCAAGCACAGTCTGTCTTTCCCTCTCAGTTTTTGGACAGAGAGTGTAGAGACTGCAGAAAGGCAGGATGTTGGGAAAGAAGAGGGAAACAGGAGAGTTGCAATTGACATTGCCGTCTTTGCAACCTGCATGCAAAGGTTTGCTAGAAAATGAGAATTTTAGTAGAAACTGAATAAATTTGGCTCCGTCAGTTTACATTTGCTCCTGTCTTTGAGCAGCTGTACAAACTGAGTCAAGCTTTAGAGTAACCGGCATTTCCTGCATCCAGCTGTTCAGCGCACCAGCTGGCTGGAATTTCTTGCAATAGTGAATCCAGTTTCTGCTGCACTCTGAACAATTTTTCAGGCTCAGCAAATGCACATGTTGGCTTAAGAAGAAAAGAGCTCCTAATCAAAATCGAACCGGATATGCATGCTGGGCAACTGACCAAAACAAAATACATTTTTTTAAAAAAAACCCTGCCTAAACCTTTAAGGAGGGGCAGAAATTTGAGCTGGAGTTTGAACCAGGAGGTGTGCCTTAGTAGGATCGAAAATGAGAGGGGGGTGGCGGTGAAGAGAGTTCCCCCCCCGCAACAGTAAAACCTATATTCCTACAGGGAGATACTTTCTTGGCTTGCATGTCTGCGTGTGGGGGGCCAGGTTCGTGCCTGTGGCACTCCTGGATGGCTCATGGACTGCAATAAAGATGGAGGGATTATTGTATGTGTGGAGAAGAGCCTTTGCTCTTTAGCATTTTCCCAACCAGCAGCAGTCCGGGGTGGGGTGTGTGTGCGCGCTATTTGGCCTGTTGGGGAAATCTGAACCCTCGTGGTTTCCCTGACAGACTAGATAGCCTCCCCCCCCACATAGACCACTGCAGATCAGGAAAAAGGAGTGTGTGTGTGTGTGTTTGTGAGGGAGATCCTGAAGCCACTTCTCTGTGAATCCCAAAGTGCCAATCCAAACTGAGCACTAACTGTGAGGGAATTGAGGAGAACTTGCAACTTCCATGTCTCTTACACAGGGTATGGGGTAGGGACCCTGTGTTCTCTGCAGGGCTATTTTGGGGCAGGAACGCACAGGAACGGAGTTCCGGCTGGCTCCCGAGTTGGCCACGCCCAGCAGGAACACATTAGCATAATAGGCCACACCCAACAGCAGGAACTCATTAGGATTGGCTACATTAGGGGTGTGTGGTCTAACATGCAAAGGAGTTCCTGCTACAAAAAAGGCCCTGGGTTTTGACCACAAACAAGGTCAACAGAATAAGAAGCAAAAGGTGGGTAACATGGGGGTTCGGCCTAATGTGCAAATGAGCTCTGTTCTGAGTGAATCTGCCTTTTAGCTTTGTAGCTTGGAACTGCAGACATGAAGTGAAGGACACGTGAGTTCTTTGTCATTACAATTAGTGAGGGAACCAGTCAGTCTTGGAATGAAATCTGCATATATAAGGACTTGGCTTTTTTGAGGAAGGGTGGTATAAAATGTGATAGATTCAAGTGGGTAGCTGTGTTGGTCTGAGGCAAAAGTCTGAGTCCAGTGGCAGCTTTAAGACCAACAAAGTTTAATTCTGGGTATAAGCTTTTGTGTATGTATCTGAAGAAGTGTGCGTGCACGCGAAAGCTTGTACCCAGAATTAAACTTAGTTGGTCTTAAAAGTGCCACCGGACTCAGACTTTGTTCTATAAAATGTGATAGATAGGAAAGATAAAATGACTCCTTATGCTAGTCAGATTTCCCCCCTGCCATAATTTCTTTCAATTTACTCCAGCTCTTTCATTGGAATCTTTAATATCCAATGAACTAGTGGCGCACCTGACCTTAATGAGAATGTGTTTCACTTTGTATTTCAGGTTTAAAGTCTGGACCAGTGGCTTCCTTGCACTCCTTCCCGATGTGTGCTGCAGTTCAGGAAGTCTTCAGACAAAGGCCGGAGCTAGGAGGCAAGCCTGACACCCCTGGTCATGCTCTTGGATTCCATTGTCAGAGTAGAATTCATCTGGTATTGGCAGGATGGCACTGGCCAGTGGATTGAATATGGCAAAAAGGTGAGCCGATGACCCAGACCCTGGTGGTTTCCCTGCGGTGATATTTTAGTTCCAAAACGTCTTATACAAATTATTTATAAAATGTCTTTCTATTCAAAGAATGCAAAAGCAGTGTGTGGAGAGTGAAGCTGCTTTCATGCACGTTCAGTGGCCATTTGCGATCATTTACAAGTGGATTTTTTTCATTTCACTCAGGAAAATACAGTCACAAAGGATTGCTGAAGTACATTTGTGGAAGCTGCATGAGTCATATACAATGTAACTAACAGGCTTTTAAAATTCGGTGTGCAGTTCTAGAGATTTGTTCCCATAATCCTCTGCATGTGGTCAGACGTGGCCTAAGCGAAGCCTTTTTTTGACCTGGTCACATGACGAAGCCCTAATGGTGCTCCTGTGTTTCTTGTCGTGTCCTCCTGTACTTGAAGTGTTTCCTCGTCATGTAATGAGCAAAGGGAAAAGAATGGCTGGGAGTAAATGGCTGAGCGGTGAAAGAAACCGGGGGAAGATACCCCTTCAGATGGGTATCATTCATCATGCAAGGGTATTTCGATCTGAAATGGCCCCAAGAAGCTGTTTGCCACACTGGGGCACTCAGATAACCTGCCCAGTGAGGTGCTATTTAATTAGGCAGTCATTTTATTGTCGCCTACTTGGTTTGCTCTTTTTGTTTAGGTGCTCTTCTCTAATGTACCGCACTGACAGTAGACCAGGGGGTGCGGTCAGACGGCGGGCTGGGAGCGGTGTAAACCGTTCCAACTGGATGAATTTGATCCGGGGGAAGCGCGATCACACTCACCTCTCACTGTGCAGCACATCGCTCCCCAGCATCCACACTTCAGGCGCTCAGCAGCACACGTCGGCGGTTTTAAAAAATTTCTACAGTTTGCACATGCGCATAGGCAGTCTTTCATATAATTGAGATCTTCGCACATGAGCATAACACCGTAGCCTGAAAAGCATGCCCTGAAGCTAAGACTTCCCTTTAAACTTTGACATCGAAACTGGCCTCAGTGAGGTCCCGGACTTGTCTGAGGGCTGAAACTGGGCACCATTTAAAGTTTGCTTTTACTAACACCGGGGTGAAGCTTCGCCTAAGCGCACATCACCTACGATTTAAAAAAAATGGAGGATGAAAAGCTGAAGCCTTGGGCTTCTGAACGGAAGTGGCTCTACACCGGCGGAGAGTGATCAGATGGGGAAAATGTGGCTAGAACTGGAGCACTCAGGAAAACACCACTTGGGGACCTAGTAGCAAACTACACCGGTATAAGGGGTGTTTGCGACAGTTGGCAACGGTTAGGGATGGGAGACAGATGTTGTGCGTGTGATCGTGTGTAAGTACTCCGTTTCTAACCGGCTTCTATACCGGCTTAAATGCTCCGTCTGAACGCACCCCAGGAGTGTTAAACATAAGGCCCAGGAGCAACCAGTGCAAGGGAGGGAACAGAAGACTGCTTGGGGGGGAGTGGGCGGAACCACTCCGATTGTGGCTTCAGCATGGCAGAACAACCTCGTCTGCAGCAGTCAAGCAACGTGGAAACGTCTGCCCAGTGCTGCCCCGCTGGCTCTCCAGTCCGCCCATGGGGCCTGGGAGTGAGGATAGACCAACTCGGAGCTTACCAGCTGCTGTCCTTTATACAGTTTATATCTCCAGTACCTGGCATCACATTTTATGGCACACATGGCCTGGCCTGACAAAGCGGCATTTATGTCAGATCTGACCCTCGTAACAAATGAGTTTGACACCTCTGCGGTAGACTGTCCTGGAGACCTTTGTTGGGTCTTTTAATAAATAGTGTCCTAAGACAAGGTAGCTTGCTTGAGGCAACCCTACGGCACTTCCTGATGCACAACTCGTGCCTTTGTTTTTCCCGTGCTCAGTTACCTTGCATGGTGACTTAGGAGCTACAGTCTGTTGAATGTTGGAGAATTCCTATACAATCCAGGCTAACAGTGTGGTTTTTGTTGTTGTCCTCTCTTTCTCTCTCTCTCTCCCCACTCCCACATTTTACTGCAGCATTTAGAACACTGTGCTGCTGCAATATCCTCTTCTGACTTGGAGGCTGCTTTTCTAGCTGACCAGAGAGGCACTGTATTCTTTCATGCTGGATCTCAGCTGTATGAACTCAACTTCAAGAGTAGGTTGCCTTTATTTCTGTGTGCTAGCAATTTATCAGTTACTCTCACTTCTGTATTGTTCCTTCATACTAAATCTCTTGAACTTTGTCATGGGATTTTATCAGCCTCAGTCTTCATAAAACCTGAAAGTGGCTAACTTACCACAGAAGGATTCAGCCATGTTGGTCTGAAGCAACAGAACAAAATTTGAGGGCAGTGGCACCTTTAAGACCAACAGAGCTTTATTCAAGATGTGCCTGTGCACTCCTTCAGATGTATTGAAATGTAAGTTACCAGTCCATACATATAGTTATGCTCATGCTCTACCTATATGTATGGACTGGTAGCTTGCATTTCAGTGTTATCTGAAGAAGTGTGCATGCCCACAAAAGCTTATAGCTTGTATAAAACTTTGTTGGTCTTAAAGGTGCCACTGGACTCAAACTTTGTTCTATTACCACATAAAGTAATTGTCCCTTGTTAGAGGCTTCCTTACATTGTGTGTTCTCAGTTTCTTAGTCCTGGGGAATGGTCCATAGCCACTCAGGTAGGAGAGATGAAAACAAGACCCTCTCAGGAGTGAGGTTATCTCCCTCTCTCCCTGTCTCTCTCTGCTCTCCTTGCAGCCCTGGGAATCAACTTTCCTGGGGTCAGAAAGGGCTGTGGGGGAGGGAGAACGAGAGAAAATTAGCATCTCTTACCAGCCTTCACTTGATGGGTTGCAGGATACAAGCAGTGGATGTCACTTCCTCAATTTTAATCCTCACAACATCCCTGCAAAGTAGGTTAAGCTGAGCAAGGGTGCATGGCCCAAGGTCACCTACTGATAGGGTTGCCAGGTCTCCTCATCGCTCCAGCAAGTGGATTGGGGGGGGGGCATTCCGGGATGTTCCTAAAGTGATGACATCACCCAGAAGTGATGTCATCATGTTGTGGACATTGTGTCGGAATGCTCTGGTTTAAGGGCAAAACTCTATGGTAAAACCAGCTTAAAACCATAGAGTTTTGCCCTTAAACCAGAGAGTCCACGCATGACTTCCAAGTGTGATTATGTCACTTCCGGGTGACATCATCACATCAGGGATGTCATGAGGGGATGTGGCTGTTTGGGGGCAGGGAGAAGCCCTGAAAACTGGGGAACCCCCGCCTCAACCCGGGGACTGTCAAGCCTACCCACTGAGTTTCATGGCTGCTGTTTCTCCCTGGTCCTAATCTGATAATCTAAGTATTGCCCTACATTGGCTCTATCATGAAAGCTCTGTGCTGTACAGATATTTGCATCCCTGGCCTAATCTCCCCTGCCCCCATGTCTTATCTATAGCTATGTGAAGAATGTGAGGGAGGGAGTGACATGGTGGAATGCAGACCAAGGTCCAGATCTTATAAGAAAGGCCAGTTTTATATTGTTTCATAATAATCTGCATCTATGCTGAAGCATTAAATGAATGGTGACTTGGTGCCAGAGGCAAGTTGCTTACTGTTAATCCTTGCTGTTTTCCCTCCAGACATGGTCCAGCGAAACCTGTACTATCAAACCCAGAGGAAAGTCTGCCGATGGCCTAGACTTGTGTTTTTTGGAGGTGAACACACACGTGGAAAAGGGTACTGGACATCCTCCTTCGCTTTAACGCTAAAGCATTGTGCGTATCGCAGGGGTCCCCAACATGGGTATAGTGTGGGGGCTGACACTTTTCCTGCTGCCCTTCAAGTGTTTTTAGAAAGTGGGTGGGGACAGTAGATTTTTTTAAAAAAACATTGCTTTTGGCACCAGCTGCCACCACCACACAAGGATCTTCACTGTGAGGCTGAGGGTAAGCCTGTCAGGAAAAGACTGAGTACATGGCAGCAATATGAAGCTACAGGGCAAAAGTATATTGGCTCCCCAAGACACCCTCCTGTTCTTTGAACTGGCTGAGTGTGTCCTCCTGACGTTTGTCAGATGTACATCCTTTGTCAAGAGCCACCAATGTGCGACTAGTTGGCCACAACTAGAGTTGGATAATGGATTCCATGAGAGTGCATTTTGCTGACGTTCTTTATCCTGCTTGGTAGACTGCAGTTTTTGTCCCGTAGGTTGTTGTAAGTGTGGAGAACAGATTCAACACATTCTCATGGGAACATTTCTTTGTTTGTTATCCTGTGTCTGGCTTTCTTGGGGAGGTGTTCAGTTCTTTCCTCCAGTAGTCAAAGAGTTGCTTGATTTGAAACATGCTGAGAAGAAATGCAATGTTGAGACTATTCCATAGGGTGCCCAGTTTTTCCAGGTGAGATAGCTGGATAGGCCTCGATTTGAGTCCTGTGGCACCTTAAAGAACCAACAAGATTTCTTGGGTATAAGGTTTCGAAAGTCAAGGTTTCCTTCATCAGATACAAGTTGGAGAGACCTAGGACTGAGTTGACTTGCAGGAAGGATAACTAAGGGGCCAGCCCACATGAAATGTTCAGATGCTGGGGTTGGGTGCCCAGGCCTACCTCTTAACAGCAAAAAAGTGGCTGCCTAATATGGCCTCTAATATGAACCTGGGACATATTACCTGGGTTGGGAGGCCCCTAATATGAAGCTGGGTTGCACTGGTGGGCAACGCAGTGCTCCCTCTAAGCTGTGGAGTCCTGTGAGCAAAAACTCTACTTTGTGAGCTACTGGCATTAAGATTGTGAGCGAGCAAATTGGCTACTGCATAAATCAGTTTGCTCTGGAGCCAGGCTTCCTGAGCTAAGACAAAAATGTGTGAGCCGGAGGCTAAAAAACTGTGAGCTAGCTCACACTAACTCAGCTTAGAGGGAACACTGGCAAGGAATTATATCCCCACCCCCTGGGTTTTAAACCGTCAGCAGTGAGGTGAGGGGCTAAGCATTTCCAGGTTGGCAAAATGCTACTTGGGTAGAGGAAAGATAATTTTAAAATAGAAAATTCTTTCCCTTTCTTGACTATGATCTGTATGCATGGGAGTATCGGGTGGTGGATCTTCAGGGTCTTGCCCCTAAATGTAAATTCACTGCCACAGGAAGTGGTGGCCACCACCACAGAAGGATCTTCACTGTGAGGCTGAGGGTAAGCCTGTCAGGAAAAGACTGAATACATGGCAGCAGAGGTCATTTCGGGGAGGAACGCGGGGGAACGCAGTTCCCCCGGGTGAGGTATGGGGGGCGGGGCACATGATGAAGCCCCGCCCCCCGCTTCCGGGAGGTGATGGGTTAAGCATTTCCAGGTTGGCAAAATGCTACTTTCTTGGCTATGATCTGTATGCATGGGAGTATCGGGTCGTGGCTCTTCAGGGTCTTGCCCCTAAATGTAAATGGAGGCAAAGTTCTGCCGCCTCCTAATGGCTGTTCAGGAGAGGGATTTCAACAGGTGCTGTTCTGATCATTCCAGTGTGGTAAACTGCAGGTGCTATAATCCCTGCTTTTCTGAAACTTTTGAGATAGTCGATCTCTGTTCCCTTTGCATCTGCTCCTGGTCTCCAGCATAATTCTTAGAAAGCCGCAGCCTTTACTGTTTGAGAACTGGGTGTCTACAGAAGGCTGGTGTCATGGGCTTTCTTTCTTGCTCTCATTTCCAGGTGTTGCTTGGAATCCTCTTCCCTTCCCTTCCAGTTGTTTCCTTCAAGCTGGGACCACTCAGCACTGCCAGACATAGGCTATAAGGTATTGATACGCAGCGTCTGTGTTGCTTCCTGCAAGAGGTCCCTGGATGCAAGCGGGGAGAGATCTTCCGGGAGTCCTCTCGGCCCAATTCAAGCTGCAGACGTATATTAACTTTGGGCAAAGGTGGCCAGTCGGTTGTCCCAGTGTCGGGCATTCACTAGGGCAGACTGGCAGTGACAAAATTCACTGTGACATGTGCCTCATGGTGACTTCATCACATGTGAACTGGACGGAGTGGTAGTCAGGGTGCAACATGTATTGGCTGGGGGCTAGAGCCCTGCCTCTGAGAACCTGCTTTTTTTGTGTGAGTATTTTTATGGGTGTGTGTGTGTGTATGCCTGAAAGTCATGGCTGACTTCTGGCGACCCCTAGTGGGGCTCAGACATTTCAGAGAGATGGCTTATTATTGCCTGCCTCTGCACCCCAGCCCTGGTATTCCTTGCAGGTATCCCAAGGACTTGCCAGAGTCAACCCTGCTTAGCTTCCAAGATCTGCTGAGATGGGGCTTGCCTGGGCTATCCACGTCAGGGCAGAACCTGCTTATTTTGAGTGCTTTTTTTTAGCCTTCTTGCTAAAGCGTAAACTTTTACATGAAAATTGAGTTTGCTAACTTATCCTTGCCTCTTGAGCCCAGAATAGAAGATCTGCCCCAATTTTAGGAGGATGGAGCAACAATCTTGACTCCACCTATACACTGATAAGGTCTGAACTGGTGGTGAATGACCAGAAAAGAACTTGGTATCATGATAAAAATAGTGGCTTGCTGCACAGCAGCAGTGAGGAGGGAGGGAGGGGAAAGCAAATCCCTAAGGTAGGCATTGTTAGGAAAGAGACTGAAAATAAGATGGCCAACATTGTAGTGCCTTAGTCTTAGCAGCCACACCTGGAATGCTGTGTGCTCTTCAAGTCACTGTATCTCAAAAAAGGATATTACAACACTAGAACAAGGGCAGGAGAGTGAACCAACATGTTCAATGGGTGAGAAAAGGCCAGGGGTCATTTCCTGCTGGAGCCCCCCGGAGCGGCGCTCCAGCAGTAAGGAGCCCAGGCCCCACCCCCCACCTGTGGAGAGATTCAGGGGGGGGGGTTAAATGCCTGGGTTCCCTGCCCGATGGCAGGCATGCAAGCATGCCTGGGTTCCCTGCCTGATGGGGCACCTGGAGAAGATAGGGCAGGGAACCCAGGCATGTCTGCCTCCCTGCCCTTCTAGTCTCCAGCCCGCCCACCGCATCTTTTGCGGAGAGACTTGGGGGGGGGATTTAAATCCCTGGGTTCCCTGCCTGATCTTCTCCAGGTTCCCTGGCTGGAGAGGGGAAGGGGAGACGGGCAGACATGCCCACCTTTCCCCCTGAGCCTCTCTGCTTTTGTGGAGGGGGGGACTTAAACTTATTTGCATATGTCTTAACTCATTTTAAACATGCCTGCCCTTTGTCAGGGGGTGTGGCATATGCAAATGAGTTATGAAAATGAGCTCCTGCACCTCTTTTTCTAGCCCACCGCAGCGGGTTGGCTGGAGAGGGGAAGGGGTGGTGGGCAGACATGCCCGCCTTTCCCCCTGAGCCTCTCCACTTTTGCGGAGAGACTCAGGGAAGGAGGGTGGGATTCAAACTCATTTGCATATGCCTTAACTCATTTTAAACATGCCTTTCCTTTGTCAGGGGGTGTGGCATATGCAAATGAGCTCCTGCACCTCTTTTTCTAGGAAATGACCCCTGGAAAAGGCTAAACACTCAAAACCTCCAGCCCATTTGTACCTGAATTATTTTTATTGAGTATTATACCAGAACAATATAGGAAAACAGATATATACTTTATATTGCATGTAACTACTGCTGCCAGAATAATGTTTGCCAGATATTGGAAAAAAACAAAAATGCCTCCCAGAAGTGAAATTATCACCAAAATACTGGACATAGTAAAAATTGATAAAACCAATCAGAGGACTTATTCCAGAAGATATGGTCAAGATTTTATACCTGGATTGAAAACTGATAAAATAATGTCTGAAAAGTACTGGGTTGGCCGCATGGAGGACTTGGACAACGACTTAACTTAACTTGTGTACTTAACAAAGAACACACAACGGCCCTGCAAGGCCAACTATATACACTCCCGTCCCCGGGCCTCCCACTCCATTGGAGGGTTTGAATTTCCTGCCAAGAAGCCTATTGGTCAGCTAGGGGGGGAACTAGGATCCGAGGTCCTATTGTCCTGGGGAGCCAAGCTCCTGTCTTTCTTGCGGGCGCCTTGTGGCGGGCCGCATACATAACAATGTCCAACGGTTATTGAGGAAATAGGTTGATAACAATCTATAAACCTGTAAAGAGAAATAGACAATTAGATAACTAGAGATCAGAGGGGGAAAAAGAGATGCAAAACATATTACTATTTGAGTTATAGCATTGTTAAACTCAGAACTTCCCCCTAAAAAAATAAAAATAATAGTTTATAAAATGATTCAGGGGATGGATGAAGTGGGGGAGGGGACACCTTTCTTCCTTCTCCTAAAATACTGGAACTTAGTACAGCACCCATTTATAAGCAGTTGATTCAGGACAGACGGAATAGAGCATCTTCAGAGAACGCTTAATTAATTTGTGGAACTGACTGCTGCAGGACGAAGTGGCAGTTGGCTTAGGCACTGGATTGTCCTTTTCCGCAGATGTCCATATTGGTGAAATGTGACCTCCATGTTTAGAAGCAGTACACCCCTGAATGCCAGTTTCTGGGAGCAATAACAGGAGGGAGCCCTAGCCTCAGGGTCTCTGCTGTGAGCCTTCCAGGGCCATCTGGCCACAATGGAGAACAGGATGGGTCTTGCAGGAGTTAAGATTTCATGTGTGCTTGTAATTAAAAGTAACTCTGACCCACATTTGCTATTTGGACCAAGATGTTCTAAAAGCAGGGGACGAGAAAGTTGGGAAGCAGATCTGGATGCTACAGTTACTGTGCTGCACAGGAAGACATGAAAGTGATTTGCTGTGGTAACCGCACCCTAGAAGTAATACTATCATTAGCCTACCTACAGGGTAAAATCTCATACAGAGAATGAGGTGCCTGGTATAGATGCATGCATCGGCTGTACCTTTTCAGCTGATCCACTTGTATGTTTCTGCTGTATTTATCTGCTTGTTTTATGACTATGTTAGTTTGTTTTGCTCTTGACGTCTTGTGTGTATTCTATATGTTTGTTTGTTTGTTTTGTGAGCAGCCTGGTAGCCTTATTTAGAATTTGAAAAAAATGGAAAACACGGAGGAATTCACAAGAGCTTTTTCCTTTGTGCTGTTTGTTGACACACAGTTGGTGGTGGTCTCCAATTCTGCTCAAGAATATAATGAAATCAGAGAGCTATTTGAGAAGTCAATGGAAGGCTTTGTGATCCGGAGGCTCCTAAGGAATCAGAACCCTTCTCTTTGGCAAGTCTTTCAGTGGTTTGTACTGGATCTTTACTTCATGGTACTCTTGAGATAATGGTTATTGCATGAGGATTTGGTCCAGATCTGCAATCAGCTGCCTATTTTCTTGCTTATTGTAACTGACATGGACCTCCCCCTCTCCTTCTGTTCCTTTCTCCATTAATTGATGGCCACTTGCAAAGCTGTCAGGGCTCATGACCTGATGTCCATGTGGCTATGTACAGTAATGATTTTTTTTCCAAGACTTGAACAGAGCCAGTTTGGTGTAGTGGTTAGGAGCACGGACTCGAATCTGGGAGAACCGGGTTTGAGTCCCATCTCTTCCACATGCAGCAGCTGGGTGAACTTGGGTCAGTCACAGTTCTCGCAGAGCTGTTCTCTCCAGAGCAGTTCTCTCAGAGCTCTCTCAGCCCCACCTACCTCACCTGGTGTCTGTTGAGCGGAGAGGAAGAGAAGGAGACTGTAAACTGTTCTGAGATTCCGAGAGAAGGGTGGGGTATAAATCCAATCTCTTCTCCTCTTCTCTTCTCCTATCCGTACTAGGTTTCATTTTTTCCTGTTTCACTCTAGTCAAGTAGGTATTCCAAGTTTCTGAAGTAATGGAAGGGCTGAACATGGGCTTATAGAAATATGGTTGGATCCAGAGGTCATTTCGGGGGGGATCGCGGGGGATCGCAGTTCCCCCGGGTGAGGTACGGAGGGGCGGGGCACATGACGAAGCCCCGCCCCCTGCTTCCGGCCACCCCGTTTCCGGCCCTCATTCAGCCAGGAGGAGGCAGGAGAAGAGGGAGGGTAAGTTGCTTCCTCCCTGCCCTCCCCACCCCTGCCTGCCTGGGGCCAGGGAGGGCCTTTGCGGGGCTTCCTTGCACTCCCGCTGGCCTTGCAGGTCCACCGCCGGGCCCCTCATGGGGCTCGGCAGTGGAGTTGCAAGGCCGGTGACGTTGGCCGGGACCGTTGGGGGCGGGGTGTGTGGCCTTATGACACACTTCTGGTGATGTCAGGGGGTGTGGCCTTATGACACACTTCTGGTGATGTCAGGGGGTGTGGTATATGCTAATGAGTTATGCTAATGAGTTCCCCTAGCTCTTTTTCTACGAAACGACCCCTGGTTGGATCCTGCAATCCATCATCTGGAAGCACTGATGTCTCCCTGGCTCTCCCATCCCACGAGCAGCCATTTGCACCCCCAGGCTGGGCTTACTCCCAGGGCTGAGAGACTTGCATGGGGTAATGACTCCATGGGTCAGCATCCAGGTGGTGGCTGGATATCTCCCGTTGTTACAACTGATCTCCAGGCAACAGAGATCAGTTCACCTGGAGGAAATGGCTGCTTTGGAAGCTGGGCTCTATGGCATTATATCCCATGGAAGTCCTTCCCCTCCTTAAACCCTGCCCTCCTCAGTTTGGTGAACCAGTTTGGTGTGGTGGTTAAGAGCACGGACTCTAATTTGGGAGAACCGGGGTTGATTCCCCGCTCCTCCACATGCAGCTGCTGGTGTGACCTTGGGTTAGTCACAGTTCTCTTAGAGCTGTTCTCTCACAAGCAGTTCTCAAAAGAGCTCTCTCGGCCCCACCTACCTCACTGGGTGTCTGTTGTGGGGAGGGGAAGGGAAAGGAGATTGTATGCCGCTCTGAGACTCCGAGTGAAGGCCAGAGTATAAATCCAATCTCCTCCTCCTCCTCCACCCCCCAAAATCCCCAGGTATTTCCCAGCCAGGAGCTGGCAATACTAGTTAGGAGGCTGGAAGGATCGATTAAGCACCCTTCCCCCGCGCAGTCCACACAACTAGTACTCCATGTGGTGTCTGCTGCCACAGAAAGAAAATATCCTGGAGTCAGAAGGGACTGCTATGGAGAGGGGAGAGCTGGGAAGGTTGGGGACCCTTGCCTATTGGGGAGGGGGGAATCGAGAAGCCCAGGAGTTGGGAGCTGGGTTGTAGTGGAGACAAAAGGCTACTAGCAAGTATCTCTAGTGCTAATTGTTCGGTGGGACTGGCCTCAGTTCGGGCTGACGTGGTCCACTTGGTTCAAATTCGAATACCATTTGTATTTTTCGGGGTATCCAGCGGAAGCCAACATAATTGATGTCAAATGACCATGAATGTGCCTTGCTGAATCAGACCAAAGTCTAGCATTCTTTGGAAGACTTTTGAAGACTCCCAGCAACCAACCGGCAGGCAATAAAGTTGTACAGTAGGCACTGACCTGTGGTCTGTTTCGTGAGCCATGGTCTCCCTCCTGCCCAGGCAGCGGACCAGGGGTGAGATCCAGGTTGTGAGTTCTAAATGGAAGGGTGAGCCTGCAATCTCTCAGGTGAGCCTTTGGTCCAGGACTGTCTCAGAGTGCCCTTGTCAAGTAGAGGTCCTCCAAAGCATCTCCTCACCTGGAGGGACATGTAAAGCTATCCTGGGCACAGAGGAGTGGAGCATGTCTCGCTATAGCATCCTCCCCACCGACTGACTCGCAACATCTGCCCTCCAGTTTCTACATTCCTTCTCTGCATGGCATTTAGTCTTTGGCAGATCATCTGCAGCTGCTTTGAAAACCTGGTTTTTCATTCTGTAATGTAAAGCAAGCATTTGGTCTGCCTTAGTACAGATTTTGGTGTACAGTATGCAGAGCTCAGATTGCAGTGTTTTTAAGTTAGCTGGCTTGATTGCTGTGATCAGGGCCTTTATCAACGAATGTGAATATTAGTCTGTAGATTGTCATCAGAGTGGGCAGAACAAAGTTTGAGTCTAGTGGCACCTTTAAGACCAACAGAGTCGATTTCAGTGTATCTGAGGAAGTGTGAGTGCACACGAAAGCTCATACCTTGAATAAAACTTTGTCTTAAAGTTGCCCCACTGGACTCAAACTTTGTTCTGCTGCCTCAGACCAACACAGCTACCCACCTGAATCTATCAGAGTCGGCAGTTCACCTGCAGGGGGAGCCAGCGGTTGAAATGAGTGCTTTCCTTGGGGGTGAGGTTTTGGCAGACTGAACAGGCAAAGGCGAAGCAAGGGAGCCACTGGAAATGGCGTGCCATTTTTAGGGGAGAGGCTCATGTTTTTCTCTAGGAATCTGCTGTATGCGGTGCTGTTTGCTCGCTTCCACTATGCTCTGTTAATTTCTAAATACACATTACAAAGACTTAGTAAGTTTCCAAATGTAACTACGTCATGGTGCATTGTTCCTGAAATTCCTCAGTGCTTGGTACAATAAGAGAGCGCATCACAGTAAAATACTGCTAGTTTATGAATTTGAACACTTTAGTAACTGACAACTGTATTGAATTGTGCTTGCAAATATTTGAGAAAGACTTACTGAATATCTTCGGTCCGTTCCCAGTGTTGCTCTCCCCAAGTGCTGGATAACTAAATTAGCTTTAGAGAGCCTCCATCAGACTAGGTCCAGCTGATAGTGACCCCTTCAACCTCGGTAGCTTTCTGATTTATGGTGGTGTTTGGATTGTTATTTATTTATTTATTCAGGATATTTCCAGGCCGCCTCTTCAGAGTCTTTCTCCAGGTAGATAACAATTAAAATAACATATCTATCCTTATATATAATTGAGTAGTGGGGTGGCACTTTCTGAACTTTCCACACACCTCTAAATCAGTTGGCTCCATGATGTGTCACTCAGAAGCTGTCCCTGTCCACTGGCTGCATTGCCTGAGTCCCGCCCACAGAGGCGGCGCCTGCCAAAACTTTCCTCAGAAGACGGTTGCTTCGCTCCGGTAACACAGCTACTGTCTTCGCTCTCCTCGCTAGATGACGATTGACTCCCTCAGGGGACAAAACCCGCCGTCTTTAGCCTCCAAGCCAAGTTTGCTGAAGCAACACTTTCCAGAACAGAAAAAAACCCACCAAGTAAACAGCTGTCAGCGTGGTGGAGGTGGGGGGGGGGGACCAGCCCATGTTATCACAAAAAAGTCAGTGGATACACACCCAAGCGAAGATAGAAGATGGGATCAGACACAAAAAAAACAGGAAGCCAAAAACCCGAGGTATGCTGCAAAGCAGAAATACAGACACAGTCACAGACAGATCTACGTAGGCACGCACAAACAGAAGGAGCGCAGGAACAACTGGCTGAAGTGGAGAATGTCCAGAAAGGGCCACCCCACTACTCAATTATATAGAAGGAGAGATACTGTATATGTACTTAACCTGCTTCCAGTCGATGCATTCGTTACACATCACATCTTTCTAGAGCTTGTTGTATTGCTTTTACAATGGGTTTTACTGCTAGTCAGTATATAAACCAGACATTTAGAAATAGGTTATGGGTCGAAGATGCTTTGGGGGTTGGTATTTGTTGAAAAGTAAGGCTATACAAATAAGTGCTTGTATGTGGTTTAGTTTCACTATTTTTTAAAAAATGTATATAACTTCTATTTCTAGGCAGAAAGAGCAGATGAGGAAGAAGAATGGAGGGAAAATGGTAGATGAAAGACTCTTGTTCCATGGCACCAGTGCATCTCACCTGCATGACATCTGTGGGCAGAACTTTGACTGGAGGATCTGTGGGACCCATGGCACATTATATGGAAAAGGTGCTGAAGGGGGGCTTCTGTTGGCAGGCAGTGCAGGGTGTCCTTTTGCTCAGCGAGGCTGAACAAGAGGAATAGATCTCTCAGGTCTTGATTCATAGTAGAAAACCGAAAAATGGCAAGGTCATTGCTCTGAGATGAAATGTTTCCAAGAGTAGTCTGCCTATCAATCTGTGCATAATCCTGCTCCTCCCCAGTTGAGCGTTGTTTAGGTCAACGGAGCATTGATTAAGGGTGAGCATTCAACTGGTCAAACGGTGTCCAAATAATCTTAAAGCATTGACCGTTCGAATCAGAATATAAAATTGCCAATGGTGTTGCTGAACATTAATCATCAATATAATGAAATGTTAACTGTTCACTTCTGTCAAATATTTTTAATTGCATATAAGTGGGATTAGTATTTATTTGTGTTATTTACAGTCCACCTGTCTCACAAAGTCTCAAGGCAAATTACACAGTTATAGAATCATAGAATCCCAGAGTTGGGTCATACAGGCCATCTTGTCCAACCCCCCTGCTCAATGCAGGATCAGCTCAGAGCATCCCTGACAAGTGTTTGTCCAGCCGTTGCTTAAAGTGAGTCAATACAATCAATACAATCCAATAAGCCATAGTATACCACAGTTTGCAAAACCATGGCATCAAACACCCCCTGCTCAATGCAGGATCAGCTCAGAGCATCCCTGACAAGTGTTTGTCCAGCCGCTGCTTAAAGTGAGTCAATACAGACAACAGGATGGGATATCCAATAAGCCATAGTATTCCACAGTTTGCAAAACCATGGCATCAAACTGACACTGCTTTTATATACCCACCTAGCTTGAAAGGCTTGGCTCTGACTAGCTTCTCTTCTCTCAGGAAGTTATTTCGCAAAGGATGCCATTTACTCCCATCAGTACTGCCAGCCAGATACCAGCTTCAAGAGGATGTTTGTAGGTAGAGTTCTAGTCGGAGACTATGTTCAAGGGAACGCAGCTTACCTTCGCCCTCCACCCAGAACTGACCAGCGCAACAGCTTTTACGACAGCTGCGTGGACAACCTTCTGGACCCTTCGATTTTTGTCATCTTCGAAAAGCATCAGATTTATCCCGAGTACGTCATAGAATACAAGCAAGTATCCCAGTGCACACTCATGTGAAGTGGCAGCAATGTGTCTGTCTACTTTTTTCCCTTAAGAGGCACGGGTTTCACGTCTTTTTTTTTTTTTTTTTAAACACCTTAAAATATTTTATTAGATTTTTTTTTTAATATCCAGGCCTTATGAACCTGAAATGCTATACGCTGAACAACCCAATACCCTTTCTGGGTTATTGGCATTATTTTTAATCACTGAGGAGCTGCAGCCGGCTGGAATTATTGTTCTGAACAAAAAATAAACTTTAAACTGCTATTTGTATGGTATTTTTTAATGCGTGTGTGTGTGTGCGTGCCCCTGGAAGTCATGGCGACCTCCCGTACCTGACCTTTACTGGGGGCCTGGAGGGTATTCAGAGAGGTGGCTGAATAAAGCCTGCCCCTGCCTCCCAACTGCTGGTACCCTTCTTTATTTGTTAGGGCACCAAGCCAGCAAATCAGTAACATCATACAAAAGCAATATAAACAATTTGTTAAAATACAAATATACAAATATAAAAAACATGGTCTAAACAAGTGCTGGCAAACCTAGACAGTCAACCCTGCTTAGCTTCTGAGATCTGACAAGACTGAGCTTGCCTGGGCTATCCAGGTCAGACTCAGGGCGCTTAAACGGCTGTCTTGATGAATCTGTTTCCTTTTGTTCTGGAGATGACATCATAAAAGGGGGGGGGATGGATGTGTGTGCTTTGGAAACAAGTTGCAGGCCACTGAGATTGGGTCCCAGTATAGATGTTGTTGTAGTGACTGAAAAGAACTGACTGACTTCCCATTGGTTGGAGCCTGACTGAAAGCTGGCTTTGAATTGTGCTAAGCCTGGCATCCCCAACCTTTTTGAGCCTGTGGGCACCTTTGGAATTCTGACACACCGTGGTGGGTGCAGAGCCACAAAAGGGCTGCCATAGTTTACTTTCAGTCACAGAATGAAGATCTTTGTGATAAAAAACATGGTCTAAACAAGTGCTGGCAAACCTAGTCAGTCAACCCTGCTTAGCTTCTGAGATCTGACAAGACTGAGCTTGCCTGGGCTATCCAGGTCAGACTCAGGGCGCTTAAACGGCTGTCTTGATGAATCTGTTTCCTTTTGTTCTGGAAATGACATCATAAAAGGGGGGGGGGGGAAATGGATGTGTGTGCTTTGGAAACAAGTTGCAGGCCACTGAGATTGGGTCCCAGTATAGATGTTGTTGTAGTGACTGAAAAGAACTGACTGACTTCCCATTGGTTGGAGCCTGACTGAAAGCTGGCTTTGAATTGTGCTAAGCCTGGCATCCCCAACCTTTTTGAGCCTGTGGGCACCTTTGGAATTCTGACACACTGTGGTGGGTGCAAAGCCACAAAAGGGCTGCCATAGTTTACATTGTCACAGAATGAAGATCTTTGTGTTGTGGCAGCTGCTCTAAAGCATTTTTATAAATCTGCACAGCCAATCAGAAGCCTTGCTGAACAAACGCCCCACGTGGCCCCACCCACTCTTACAAGCATTTGACAGGCCCCAAGAAAGGTGTTGGCAGGTGCCACAGCGCCCACAAGCACCAAGTTGGGGATCCCATATGCTAGAAAGTGTTAAAAGGCCTCATCCCGAATATTCTAGCCTGGCTTAGTATATCTTGGCATAAGCACAGAACAGCTGACTGACTACTGCAAACAAGTGATCACTTTGAAAAATTTCATTTTAAATACCTGTACTATTTATGGTGTGATCATTGCTACTAATTAGGAATATTCCTAACTGTACAACCCAAAAAGAGGACATTGTCATCAGTTTTTTAAAAGAGCCCAAAAGAGGACAGACACTAAAAAAGAGGACATTTGGTAACCCTAATACATAGCCACATACCACTGATAACTACACTACAAAGTAAGCATCTAACAGTGCAGTGCAGGCCTATCAGAGTTACTAAAGTGTAAACCCACTGAATTCAGGGGCTTAGACTGGGAAATCAGCATAGGATTTCACTGTGAAATATTTTCTGCTTTATACACAGATTTGTGAATTGGTGCTAAATGTTATCTGAAACCTTATTTCTTAATGGCCCGGTACAACGCTAGGATACAAATATTAGAAGCTGTGCTTATTTTAGGTATGACACCCAGTGTCTAGTTTGACCCTGCCCCTCCGGAACCTATACCACTCTCTGGATACTAGTATGTGGCAAACAGTTTACTGCAGACCACAGACAAGGTAACCATGAAGTAAAAGGTGCTTTGGAGCACAGCCATTTAATGCCCTTTATACAGATCCGTACCAGCTGGGGTAGAGAAGTCTGAACATACATTAGGCTTGCCAGTCTCCAGGTGGGAGCGGAGGATCCCCCACTTTTGTGGGCTCTGACCTGCTGCTGGCCGGCAGGGAAACTTTGCCCGCAAACAGACATCCCCATGTCACGTCGCCAATGCACTGACATCACTTCTCGAAGTGACATCATTGCATCAGTGGTGATACTCTACTTTTTGGGCAAAACTCTATGGTTTGTCGCCCCAACGTTGCCAACGCGTCAAAACTCTATGGTTTGTAGCTGTTTTTACAAAAAGTAGAGTGTCGCCCCAACGTTGCCAACGCGATGGTGTCACTTCCAGAATGCCATCCGAATCCCCTCACCAGCAGGAGGAAGGCACCTGGCAACCCTAACACACATACTAGCAAGTTGCTGAAACTTGGGGGGGGGGAAAGAAGAGGAAATGTCAAGGAAGCTTTGTACATACAGTCTTTCCAATAGTAAATTAGCCCCCTAAGGTGATAAAGCAGGGTGAATGTGCTCAAAAGACGGATCATTAAATGCTGGAGTTATTCCTTGCCTCCGTGTTCACAGAGAACCAACTTTGCCCTTCAACAAGGGTGGGAGCCACCTTAAGGAAATTTTTAATTTGGCCCTGTTAAAGATGTAATGAATTTGGGACAGACAGGTGTTTGGCTTCTTTTTGGCAGCAAGAGAAATAAGAGGTCCAACATTAGTTGAATTTAGTATTTTGGATCTTGTGTTGCAGTACAAGCTCAAGTACAGTGGTATAGTAGTTAAGAGCAGTAGATCTGGAGAACCAGGTTTGATTCCCAACTCCTCCACATGAAGCCTGCACATGAAACCAGTCACAGTTTCTCTCAGGACTCTCTCAGCCCCACCTACCTCACAAGGTGCCTGTTGTGGGGAGAGGAAGGGAAAGCGATTGTAAGCCACTTGGAGACTCTTGAAGGTAGAGAAAAGCGGGGTATAAAAACCAGCTCTTCTTCTCATCATCTAATGACCCTAATCTTGTCCTGATAAGTTAATGGCAGGTCTCCCCTAGTTTACAGTAAAATACTCTGATCACAAAAGGAAGTTTCACCTGCATAAGGAGGCAATAACAACTCATTGGAATATTGTTGAATTGCCATTTGCATCAAGACATGCTTAGAAAATTACCCATGCCCATGTGGGCTACAAAGGCCCTGATCACACGGGCCAGATATCGCGGGGGGGAGGCGTGGCTAATTGCCCCGGTGCAGTTTGATGCGCGATTACGCGATCATACGTGCCAGTGGCACAGCACGGGTCCTTCCCTCGGCGCCGGTGGGTAAACGAGGGACCGGAGGGGAATGCCGCGCTCCGGTGCGATCACACCACGGGCGTCTGAAGGCAGCCCGTGGCAAACGTTTACTAGTACCTTGGAGGTACTAGTTTTTTAACTTGCATTGTCGGTGGTAAGCCACGGGTGCGCTCCACTTCCCAGATTCTGGGGTGTGATCGCACCTGGATAATCTGCCCACCATCTGTGCCTCTCCGGCGGCAACTTTGCCATGTGACCGGGGCCTACTAGTAGTATAAGTCGTGCACAGAAATAGACCTGCCACAGGCTTTTAGTAAGCCAGCCTCCCTCTTATACAGTGTAAAGAGGAACACCATAGCCGAGACAACAGAAGACAACATTTTGACCTAGAAGAGGATAGCTTTATTTTTTTAGAAAAAGTTCTGCTTCCAAAATGCGCATCATTTGTTTTGAATCATTGCTACCCTCATGCAACATTTCCTGACTTCACATCTGGCAGTTTAACCAGAGAGATTCTTTAAAATGTGTAGCACCTGACATGTTTGAGAAAAGTAGTGAAAAAAAGTGGAATCCAGAATTTAAGGCAGCAAAATGTGAGTCACAATCTCTAAAATTAGGTGCATGTGAAAACTGAACTGCTCTTCTGAAGGCACCTTGGTTTACATATTCATAAGTGGTGGTATTGAGGAAGTGATTGTGTATTGTGATAAGAGAGTAAAGTTTTTCCATTATAGGAAACAAAAATGAGAGAGAATAAGTGACCACTACATTGAGAATACGTCCTTGGAAGCATCACCGTTTCAGTATTCATCATGGAAGGGATATTCAGGATGGTCCTTCCACCTGTTGAAAATGGGAAGGTATGATTATTATACTGAAAACATACTCCAGAAGAGTGGCTGACATGTTTACCTATCCATTGCTCCCCCAGCCAAAAGACACCCATTCTGTTTGCTATAAGTATAATCTCCCAGTAAATTTTTTTCTGTACAAGCCACCTGGTACAGGGAGAAGTAGAAGAACAGGTAGTTTGTGCATCTAGTTCAAGATGGACCCTGACAGCACAGTGACCACACTCTTCAGAAGGTACAATAAATCTACATAGGCTGTATAACAAAAAAGCATGACTAAAGAACCTGGTAATATTCAGGGCTTTGTACATAACTCTTTGGAATTTAAAATTATTCTTTATGCAGATGATCTTTTATTTTTTGGAACCTTGGTCTTCCATTCCTGCATTAATGGGTATGATTAATACCTTTGGAGATTTGTCAATATTCAATTAATTGGGCAAAATCTGAGTTGATGACAATATATCATGGGGTGTATTTGCCTACAGACATTTTTGGTGTTGCCCAGGTGTCGTTATCTAGGAATACAGTTTCCTAGAGATATTATGCACATGATAAGGCTAAATTTTAACAAGCTAATTGCTGATACATCTTTGGATTTGAACAGATGGGCAACTTTAAACTTGGCTCTATGGGGCAAAGTAAATGCATTCAAAATGAATATTATACCTATGATTACATCTTTTATGAGCAATTCCTTTCTATATGCCTTGCAGACTATACTCATAAAATTAATACTTTATTTTGGAAATTTATATGGGGTTCTCACCACTTCGGGTTTCTTTAAAGAGGATGCAACTTCCATTCAATGAAGGAGGATTTGGTTTCCCTGATTTTAGTTATATCATCAAACATACTTGTTAACTTGGAGTATCCATCCTGGGCTCTTTTGAAGGCATGTTGTCTGATGGCCCTCTCTAAGTGGAATGCATTAGGGTCCACTTATGCTAAAGCTGATCCCATTCCTCTTGCAATTTTTGCAACTAGAGAACAATAGTGTATAATGGCACAGCAATATCAATTTGATCCATTTTCACATGCTAAATTAACATTATGGGTCAATCCAAATGTAAAAATTGTGAAGAAATCTTTTTTATATAGAAGCTTTGGACTGATAGGGGATTTTTCATTGGATCAACTGATAGGTTACGATGTATTTTACACATTTTCTGAGCTGAAGTCTAGGTATGACTTGCCACCTTCTGCAGAGATAGATCAAGATGGGTAGCCATGTTTGTCTGTAGCAGTAGAAAACAGCAAGAGCTCAGTAGCAACTTAGACTAACAAAAGTTGTGGCAGAGTGTGAGCTTTCATGAGTCACTGCTCACTGCTCATTTCTTCTTTTCTACTACCTTCTGTAGAATGACAATACTTAACAGTTTCAACATATGTTGGTATCTAAATATGGCCCTGCAGCATTAAGTGTCTCAGAGTCTCCTTTGCTCATGGAAACTCTAATTGAATCAAGGCAGAAAAACTATAATATTTGTTTATAAATATTTGATGTTAATAAATATGATATGCAGAGTCTCAAGAATGAATGGATCACCCTATTTTGCAAAAGCAATGGGATATGGCCTTTATACCTGTTATCTCCATGGATCTTGAGACCTTCTGAGCAAAAAATTATGTTTAGGATATACTGGAGACCACATCGACTCTTTAGCAAAAGCAGGGCTATTTTTGGGCAGGAACGCACAGGAACGGAGTTCCGGCTGGCTCCTGAGTTGGCCATGCCCAGCAGGAGCTCATTAGCATAACAGGCCACACCCAACAGCAGAAACTCATTAGAATTGGCTACATTAGGGGCGTGTGGCCTAACATGCAAAGGAGTTCCTGCTACAAAAAAAGCCCTGGTTTTGACAACAAACAAGGTAAACAGAATAAGAAGCAAAAGGTGGGTGTGGCTGGATGACCACACTTCTGGTAACATGGGGGTGTGGCCTGATATGCTAATGAGCTGTACTATCAGGGGTTTGGCCTATTATGCTAATGAGTTCCTGCTGGGCTTTTTCTACAAAAAAAGCCCTGAGCAAAAGATTGAGTAAAGTGTCTAATTGTTGGTGTTGTAACTCACAGGACACGTCCCTTAAACATATGCTTTGGGCATGTCAAGTCATTTGTGTTTTTTTCTGGGAAGAAGTTATTACTTGTATCAATTTCGTATTAGAATGTTCATTCCTTTTTCAGGAGGGTCTACATACTTTTAAATTGTTTGCTTGTCTCCTGGAGGATAACCAATGGTCAATGAAAATGGACCCTCCGTGCCCTTACTACAGCTACAAGACTCATACTACAACACTGGAAATATAAAAGCCCACCTCTAGTAAATGAATGGATTGAGGACCTTAGAACTCCATCAGTGTTTGAACGCATGGCATATAGACAGCATTGCACATGGATTTATATTTAGATATTTGGAAACCGTTTATACAAGCTTATGTGTAGATCCACAACCACTGTTGGTATATATTTTTCTTTATGTTTATCCTTTTTTTCTTTTTAAGTTTATTTTCTTTTTCTGTGTTTTTTTAAGGAAATAAAAAGGGGGGGGGAAAGAAAATGTATTTCTTTACTGTTCCTCTAAACAAGTTGCATTGCATTATATTTCTACAATACAGTTTACACAATTATAAGGGTTTGTTTTCTTTAGGAAACATGCTGCCTTGAGCCAGAACACCTCTGAAAAAAAGATAATTTTCATCTTGCAATACTGATGGAGAATCAGCGCATGGCTATGGTAAGACCATCAGACTGGAAACTGGGACATCTGGGTTCAAATCCCCATGCAGCAATGAAACTAATAGGGATGCCCTTGGTCAATTGCTCTTGCAGCCTAACCTACCTCTGAAAAATCTAAAGAAGTGTTCATGCACATGAAAGTTTATTCCCAGAATGAAACTTTGTTGGACTTAAAGGTGCCACTGGACTCAAACTTTGTTCTGCTACCTGGTATTATGAGGATAAAGTGGTCCCAGGTTCCGTCCCCAACATCTCCAGTTTAAATGATCAGGTAGTAGGTGATGTGAAAGACCTCTGGCTGGAGAGCCACTGCATACTGACCTTGAGAGAACCATGGCCTGACTCAGTATAAGGAACCTTAGTGCATTCAAGTCTTTCATAATTTTTATGCATCTCTTCTTCCAAAGCTAGCATACATGGTTCTCTCTTCCTCTGTTACATCCTCCGATCAACTGTGACATATATTAGGCTGATCCAATCTGACTGACTCGAAGGACCTAAAAAGGCAGAGCTGGGAACTGAGCTCAGATCTCACTACTCCTAGCATGACACTCTGACTAGTACTCCACACTGGCTATTCCACAACTGCCTCTCCGTAAGCATGGCTGCAGTATATTGACAGCAGAGGCTATCAACGTTACACCAGGGTGGTTTTAATAACCGTGTCCTGGTCACACATGCAGTAAGCCAAACACCACTGCATTTGTTTAGCTCCTTGAGCTGGCAAAGGATAAGATGATCTGGCTTTTTTTTGGTTTGGCTCTCATCTCCTCCTCCCCCCTCCCCGGTCTTCCAGCTCCATCAGCGAATCCTCCCATCGTCCAAATGAGACCTGGCTGCCCCCTCCAATTAAACTTCTGGGACTTGAACTGCTGGCTTCTGGATGCCTTTGTGGGTTATGTAAGGACAGCAATGTCATCCATGTCCGCTTCCAGAAGTCTGTTAGAAAGGAAGCTGGCATCTGTCAGTGCAATTCTTCTCAAATCCATTTTGTTGCAGATTTGCCAATTAAAGGGGGGGGGACCTTCAGTGGTGCGGTCCCTAGCTAAGATTTAGGAACAGCATAAAACTATCACATAATGTGTGCTTCATGCTTTATTTTCTCTTTCCAGAAATCATGTAGGTCATCTGAGGCTCTGGAACACACACACACACAGCTGCCACCCCTGGGGAACTTCCCAATAAACTATAGCAGCCCTTAGCTAACTTAAGGCCAATTTAGGCATATTACTGGCAATTCTGTGAACGAGATCCCCACACAGCCTTTTAAAAAGCAGGTGTGCCAGTCCAGTACTTACATTAACATCTCCACATAGCGGATATTTTTGTTCAGCGCTTCAATCTCCTTCATTTCCTTGTCGGTGAGGGAAAAGTCAAAGATCTAGGGGTAGGAGGAGGAGAAGAGGAGAAACAAACACTAGTTATTTTCTGCCTCGGGGTTACTAAGTATATAGTTGGTTTTTAGTGCTCTCAATGTATATAGTTCAATTTTAGTGCTCTCAATGTGACAGATGCTCTCGTGGATTCTGCCATCCAAGGGCCGAGTGACACAGTTTAGAATAATAAAGCTGTAAATGTTCCCTCTAAGCTGAGTTAGTGTGAGCTAGCTCACAACTTTTTAGCCTCCGGCTCACACAGTTTTGTCTCAGCTCAGGAAGCATGTCTCCAGAGCAAACTAATTTATGCAGTAGCCAATTTGCTCGCTCACAACTTTAATGCCAGTAGCTCACAAAGTAGAATTTTTGCACACAAGACTCCACAACTTAGTAGGAACACTGGAAGGACCTCCAGGGTCATCTAGTCCAATCCCCTGCACAATACAGAGAATTCACAAATACCTTCCCCCCCACACCCCCAGTGACCCCTGTTCCACATCCAGAAAATGACAAAAAACCTCCAGGACCTGTGCCATGGCCGGCACTCAGGTATACAATCTGGCTGCTCACCTTAAAAAAGCACTCATTCTCTTGGTGTTGTGAGGGGGGAGAAAGAGCTGATGGTTTCCTTCCTGCCCTGCTTTTGGCAGTGAAAGGGGGGAGGGCTTTATGACCCTTTTCTCTAGCTCCATGTGCCCAAGGACGTGCCTTCTTCCAAGAAACTCATGGGAGCTATCCCATTTCATGCTCGCAGCCACCATGCAAGGTAGGTTAGATGGAGTGATGATTATGGATCCACTCAGTGAGGACCACGCTGAAAGACGGATTGTAACTCAGGCCAAGTGCAACACTCCAAGTACTATATCTTACTGGCATGTTACCCTTAAGAGCATGTATATGTCCTCCAGGCAGGGCCAACTTAACCATTAGGCACAGTGCCACAATACTTTTAGGGACCCATGAAAATGTTTTAATTTCTTTTAAAATCAGAAGAAAAACATGAACTTTTAGGATCGAAGAACATTTTAAATTTTTTCCTCACATTGGGGGGGGGGAATGAAATGTTTAGGGCCAAGGAAAATGTATTCACTTTTGCCTAAAACAGAAAAAAATGTTGATATATTTAAAGTTATATAAAAATAATTTTAATATTGATATTGTTATGGTGGGAGAGGCCCACAAAGGCAAAAGTGCCTTCAGGGCCCACAGACCGGGGGGGGGGGGTTATGAGCTTCCCCAGGATAGATATGTCCTATGGGATGAATCATCCTTTGGCTCTTTTGGCTTGCATTCACTGGGCAAAGTCTTCTTCACTGTGTGTCACTAACAAGATTCCTTTTGAAGTTGTTTGCATAACCAAGGATTTTTTGTGTGTGGAGGGAACATTGCTAACTTTTTTGGGGGGAGGATAAAGGTTAGATGTGTATCTGCCCAGATAAAGCTTATTTGGAATCTGCTATGGAGAGTTGTACTTGGAAACTGCATCTTGAGGAAGTTGGCTGTAAATTCATGAAAGCTGCTGCTGGTGGTGGTGGTCAAAAGTACCATCAGGTCGTAGCCACTTACAGCAAACCCACAGAAGCAGTTTGCCATTGCCTGCCTCTGCTTAGCAACCCTGGACTTCCTTGGTGATATCCCATCCAAGTACTAAGCAGGACCAGCGTGGCTTAGATTGGGCTAGCCTAGGCCACTGAAAGCTCATACTGGAATAAAATGTGAAGCCTGTGAGGTGTCACAAGACTCCCGTTAGTTTTACCTGGAAGTTCTGCCTAATACGCTCCGGGTTGAAGCTTTTGGGAATGACCACCACCCCTCGCTGAATGCTGAAGCGTAGAGCCACCTGCGCTGCCGTCTTGTTATATTTGTCTCCAATGGCATTCAGCACTGGGTCCTCCAGGAGAGGAGGGGAAGATACGTTGACCCTTGTGGAAAGGAACATGAAACGAAACAGACTTTCCGTACGCAAGAAGCTTAGCACATTTTGGGGAAGGAGGGGAGAGAAAGGGAGAAAAGACTGAAGCAAACAAGGTTTGGAAGCATCACTTTAAATTGCCCCCATCTCCTGGAAGTGTTCAATTCATGGGGTTATATCAGGACAACTTATATGAATTATGGAAACCAGGCCTTTTGCTTTTAGGCGAGCAGGTATGAAGCTTCTCTTTCGGCACTTCCTTCCAACAGACAGGGCATGCTTATCTGCACTCCCTTTCCTGCTCTTTTTGCATAGTAAGGCCAAGGCAGATTTTAGAGCAGGCAAGGAGAAGAATGACCTTTCCCTTCCAAGGACCTGTGCTTCTGCATGAATCACTGGTGTGAGCATGCCTGGAGAAAACAGTGATTCTCCAAGGGAGGGGTCCTGTTCTGTCTGTGTATTGGGAATGACTGAATGACCCAGCCACAACCAGTGTACGGGTGCAGCAAACTTGCTGTCCTTTTGGAAGCTGATATGGAGACCAACCCAGAGCAGTAAATCACAGAGAGATACAGTGGACAGCCTCCTTGGTACATGGGTGCTTTGGGATGATGGGAGCCTCTGCACTTCCTCATGGGACTCAGTTTGGAAATTACTTGTGTAAGACTATCATTTTCAAACTGGAAGGCACACCTCCCCGAGCAGCTGCTGGGGAAGGTGGAAACAGCTTTTTGAAAGCCTGATTCTCCCCCCTCCCCCGCCCCAGTTTCTTGCTACTGCAAGATGAGGAATGCTAGCACTGATACCCGGCTAATTAGACGGCCAGGAATGGCCAGACCCTACTCTCACTTTCCTCGGACATGTGAACTGATCTGTGGTTGGCTCAATGGGTATTACTGCAAAAAAAAAAATTCTAGTGCTTTCAAAAGCCAATGCATTGGTTACTCTCGGCACAGAATTGTTCAACCTTGAGTCACAACAAGCCAGAAGTTTACAGGACAAATCCAGGAAGCTTACACTTCTATCTATCTAGTATGTCAACTGCTAACAATAGATCAGGGAAATAGCTGCAAGGTCATTTCTGCATCTGCACTGGCTTGCAGGGAAAGCTTCAGACCTATGCTGAGCTCAGTGTTCTTAGTCTTTAAAAAGGAAAAGGAACCACTGTAGGTTGCAATTAGGAGCTGCAGAAACGTGGGTCAGGAAGGGATTCTTCAGGATTTTCTTTTATCCCAGTTTCCCCCTTCAGGCTGCCTTACCCACACAGGTGAAAAATTGTAGGTCTGAGGAAAGCTACATAGAACTCTTGGTAACAGGTAACTGGGACGGTGTGGGCTGAACTACAAAATGACTCCGAGAAGGCACCTGGGGCCACAAAATGCAGTGGCTGCCTCCCTCTTCCTTTTGTTTCCAAGGAAAGTCAAGGATGGTTCCTTTCCCTAAGGGTGGATTTATACATTCGCTTATGATTCCCAAAAGAAGAATTAAAATTTGAAAATTATCTCAGTATGATAATGTAAGTTTCCCAATTTAAAAAACACTTTTCAAAAGTTTCTTAAAAACTGAAATGTACAGAAACTGTAATGGCACAATCGTTAAGCCAAATCCAGTGTAAGCCAGATCATCTTCTCTACATGTGATGTTACTATGCCAGAGACTTGTAACCCAGGTGGGTGCTGTGTTGGCATGTTAACAGGGTTTTGTTTTTTGTTTTTTTAAATCCCAGGATGTAGCTATGTGCACACTCAGGTACCTCACTGTCTGATAAAACTGTCAGCAGCTTGTCAGCTTTTGAGAAAACAACAACTATGAAACCCTGTCATTCCACTATAGAAGTTAGCATTTCCAGAGGTAAACATTACTCACCAGGTTTCATCTCTTGAAGTTCCTAGAGGGCTGTACCCAACAAGGACAATGTCGTGCTGTCTGCAAAATTCTAAGAGTTTGGGCTGGGTAAAATAGGGGTGGCATTCAATCTACATAAGAAAAACAGAAACAAACCAGGTTCAGAACAAAATGAACTGGCAAAAGAGATGGTTTACAAAGCCAGGCAGTATGCTTGCTGAAGTCCCATTCCACAGGTGGATGAAAGCACTGAACATCTGTACTGTATTGCTCTCATGGCTATGAAGCCCCAACGGGCTGAATTCCAACAGAATGTTCATGAAAATTCCAACTGCTCAGGGACAAGACTGCAGAAAAGATGGGAACGGACCCTCTGGCAACTGGCCAGAAGAACAAGCAAGACTACCAGCAATGGAATATCAGCTTGGCCCAACAATATAAATTCTAGCTGTCAAACTAATCTCCTTCCCCTATCTTTTCCCTCCACTTACCTTCCCTCAAGGGTCTTATCTTTTTTAGATCGTGAAATCTGAAGGCAGGGCCTGGCTCTCGTTAATAGAGACACCATGGGAGATTAGAAATATGATATAGAAATATAATAAAGAAAAGCTTCTAATGTGTTTGCAGTCCTCTATTAAAAGGACAGGACATTTTGTTCCTACTAGAAGTCCAACTAAGTTGCATGTAGATCTCTTGATATTAGGGTTGCCAACCTCCAGCTGGGTCCTAGAGATCTCCCAGAATTTACAACTGATCACCAAACTACAGAGATCAGTTCTCTTGGAGGTAGGGTTGCCACCCCCCCAATGTGGGTGGGATTTCCCCCGATTTCCCCCCCCGATCCACCCACCGGCCAGCTGGCCAGTGGGAGAGCCCAACCCCCAACGTGCCCCGTGCAATGACACCACCCAGAGGTGATGCCATCGTGCTGGGGATGTCATGTGGGGGACACTCTAGCATTTGGCCAAAAGCTCTATGGTGACCATAGAGTCTTTGGCCAAATGCTAGAGCGTCCCCGTGACATGCCTAGCGTGATAATGTCACTTCTGGGTGACATCACTGTGACGTGCACACTTTGAGCACACACAAGAAGATCCCCAGGAGAGAAGCCTGGAACCCCACGCTGGCAAAAGGTAGGGACCTGTCAACCCTACTCAGAGGAAATGGTACATTGAGAGGGTGCACTTTATGGCACTTCATCCCTGCTGAGCTCCCCCCCTCCCCAAACCCCACTTTCCCCAGGCTCCATCTCCAATTTCCAGGACTTTCCCAACTTGCAGTTGCCAACCCTACCCAAACATTTTAACGTATACACAAAATGCAGCCATGAAATGGTGATTTATTTTTTTAAAACCTTTTTTCCTTGGCAGTTTTTCTGTTAAAAGTCACTTCACACATGCTTTCCCCTTTAGGTAGAGGGATAGGGGGATACTGAACTGACACCTATCTCTCTGCCCTTCTTGAGCATATATATGCATGACTTTCATCAGAAAAACCGCCAGAGGGGAAAGAAGCTCTTCCCTTATCTGCATTTTCCAATTCCTACCTCCTGCATTAAAAAGAAAAGGAGGGAATTTTTTACCCAGGATCAAAGCTATAAAAATATTACATCTTGCCCCAGTTAGTTAAAGGTCACTCCCAGATTCAGTTGGTATTAATCTCTCCCTCCATGAGGCCGTTGGGTGGAGGAGACAGCATCGGGGCAATCGGCTTCAGACTTCCTGTAGAGAGGCCCTAAACTAGGCCTTGATGAAGCTTGTTTAAATGGGCATTCAGATTACCTCAGAGGATCAAGTCACACACAAAAAATGTTGACACTGTGGAATGTAAGCTACTGTACTGGAGGATGGTGATCACTAGAATTGACAATAAAGCAGTCCTATCAGAAAACTTGTTTTAGAAGTAGGTGGACCTGCTGCTGGGGGGGGGGCGAATGGGGGCAATTGCCCTGGGGCCTCATACATGAAGGGAAGGCATAGACATATACATTAATCACAGGCAACAATGCCTCATCCAGAACTGTTTCCTCCACACAATGGGATCCTCTGCTAGAAATCTGTTTTGATGACCGTATTCAAATGCGCTCCAAGAAAAGCAAGAAGATGATACAACTTTCCCAATAATATTACTTACATTATTATGAAACATGAGCAAAATATCTGCAGAAGTAGTTCTCTACTTTGCAAGTCAACCCAGCAGCATTTTTTCTGCTTTCAGTTTTCAGGACGTACAATTGTGTCAGATTCTGACCTCAAATGAAGATAGTTTTTAAAAAGATTTTTAATTTGTTCTCCCCCCCTATTTGTTTTATCCCCCCATATTTGTTTTTCCCCCCCAGCTGAGGAAAAAAATTACACCGTGGGGGGGAGGGACTAGGGGGCTAGAATGATAATTCAGCCCTCAAGTGTCTCCAGGGCCGGATTTAGACTTGCTGAGGCCCTAAGCTATACAAAACCCTGAGGCCCCCTACTGTTTTAAATTACATCAGCTGGTCTCAGAAAAATTTAAAATATATACGCCTTTTTAATATTTGAAATCATTTTTTATATTGTGTTTTTATTTGAGGCCCCAGCAGATTGCGAGGCCCTAAGCTGTATCTTATTTAGCTTATGCGTAAATCCGGCACTGAGTGTCTCAAAAAAAAGGTCTGACTTTAGTTTAAAAATCCGGAATGGAGGAAAGTGGACTAATTTTGCCCTGGGCCTCTGAGAACTCTTGCTGACCCAGTTCATTTTCTACCCAGGCCAAAGTCTTGTAGCTACAAAATGGAACACATTCCACACAGCTGTCTCCTTTTACCCCACAACTAATGGCATGAAATTTACCGTAATGCAAGGGCCCCAGCTCAGCATTTGTTCCAATTCATGTTAAATCTCTTTTTCTCACACTGGAAAACGTCCTCAGCTAGGCTAGTCAAAATGTTTCCAATTGCAAGTTCAGCCTGATCTGGTAGAACACACTGACCCTCTCGGGTTGCCAAGAAAACCATGTTCCAGCCCTCATAGTGGATTCTGTGTTGAGAGCTTAGAAATTCATCATCTGTTAGATAATCGGACCCATAAAACTTTTTCTGGGGGGGGGGGAACAGCTTCCCCAGCTTCAGCATTTCCCATTTAGCAGGTAACAAAACCAAACATCTGCAATGAATTGGGTGCACTGTGCTCATTCACTACCCAGACTGATCAACCCAATTAATTCAGGCTCCTTTAACAGCAACAAAAGTGTTGTACGCACATTTTATGAACCACTTTGTACTCTGCCACTGACTAAGTCAGTTTAACTTAGCAGGTGTACTTAACACTTACATGGTGCATATGTTAAGTGCCTTTGATGATTCTAATCACAGTAACTGAAATCAGTCATGAACATCTATTCAGATATTCACTTTGGTTGATTGCTGAAATGCATTGTGGGTAAAATACTAAAGGCTGACAATCTTACTGCAGTGACTTTGCTTGTTCTTGCCAGTTGTAATTGCGCATGCCCCTGATGTCAGTTTGCTTGCGTTAGCTGAAGAACACTGGATGATGTACTAATATGTGTTACAATTAGATACTTTTTAGAATTTCACAGCCTAGGAAGAAGAAAGCCTATTGTTCAACTGAAGAAGGTATATTTTTGCCTGGGAAAATCCAACCCCCAGGTTGGATTCCCAATCAGAATGGTGTGACGGATATGTGACAAACTTTGATGGAACCAATAATTGTGATTTATTTCTAACTGTCATAGGGGGTATAAAATCCTATGTCTACCATTGTAACCTTAGGGAGAGCTGTGGGGTCCAAAACCTTATTGGATCTGCACCTCCCTGATCAATAAAGTACAAGATCTGATTCTCCTCTACAAGACTGCCGTGTGCTTTTTCAAATTGGGCTGGGGGAGCACAACCTTTGATGGAGTTTCTGTCTTAACAAAAGTCACAGATTCCTGATCGGTCAAAGACAGGTTTAAATACTGGACTTCCATATCGGGATCATAAGAAACAGCGGCAGCTTTAAAGAGGCGGAGAAACTATTTCCTAATCCAGATTTCAGTGCCACAGAAAGAAGATTCAGCAATTTAGAGAGGTGACACCAATCTGCCTAACACTGAGGACCAACTAATTCAGTACTGTCCTCTCTGACTAGCAGCAGCCATTTGAATTTGGAACCTTTTGTGTGCAAAACATGTGCTCTGACAGTAGCCATCACCCTTCCACAGTCCTCCTTCACCTGCTTATTCCCCACCCCATTTCATGTTGCTGCTCAGGCTTCAAACTTGCTGAGTGGAGTGGTGAGACACAAGCCTTGACCATTACCTGGTTGGTGACAGGTTTGTGCTTAAGACCTGGTTTGTTCAGGATCATTTCCAGCTGCCTGCGGTTGAAGTTGGATACACCAATGGATTTTGTCATGCCGGCATCTTTACATGCTTCCAAAGCCTGCCATGGGAAAGCGGAGAAACACAGAGAAGAGTCCCTTAGAGCAATTTTATAGTTATTTTCCAAGCGTGGATAGAGAAACAAATCAGCAAGGCTGATGGAGGAGGAAAAATAGAGAAGAACGAGAAGGGGAAGAAATACTCTCAAGCAAAGAACTGAACGTTAAAAAGTGGTTTAACAAATGCAGACTGAGAGCCACTGCAGTGTAGTGGTTCAAACTCTGGACTAGGATTTGGGAGACCCAGGTTTGAATCCCTGCTCTACCATGGATGCTTACTTGGGAAGGTCACACGCTCTCAGCTAACCCACCCCACAGGGTTGTAGTGAGGATACAATTGGGGAGAGGAGATTGATGTAATCTGCTTTGGGCCCTCATGAGAGAGGAAACTGGGGTGCAAATGAAGTAAATAAAGATGGTTGTTCTGTGCGAAGGAGACAGCGTGGCAACAGGAAAAGGGGACTAAAGGGGAGCCAGTAGTAGACAGGAAAAGGGAAGGAAGAGGAGACATCACATTCTCCATTGAGACATCACAGGGAACCAAGGTTAGTTTGTGAAACCAGCATTCAGCTCACAGATAATCACTCAAATCCTGGTCTGCCTTGATAACTGCTGTTTCATTTTCTGTTCTCTCCAGTCTTGGAGGATAAACTAGGCTTAAACGGGGATTTGCCCTGGATATCTGCATTCAGACATCACATGAAACCCTTAACACTAACTATGGTTAATAAACAGGGTTGCCAGAATGAGGCAGGCAGCCAATGGGACACTGACCTGTGGGGGGGCCCTCACCGATGACGTAATGATGTCGCCAGTGCTGCAACATCATCACTTCCTACTTGCCTGAAAGTTGGTGTCGCCATGTCACTGGTGATGCTCTGGCATTTGGGCAAAACCACATCATTTTAACTGAATAGTACAGCATCATGATGATGTCACTTCTGGTCATGCTGGAAGTGATGTCATCATGTCAGGCTACTAGCAATAGCCCCCCCCCTTTACCACCCATTTCTTCCCACTTCTCAGCTGAGCTGCCGCAGGAAGGGCTGGCGGTGGACAGGAGGTCTCCTACATGAAGTGGGAACCTGGCAACCCTATTAATAATGAACCAACTTCAGATCCTGATTTGAGGGGTTGTAACTAACTGTAGCTAGTGGAATGGCTCACACTCTGACAATCACATTAACCATAACTAGCTTACAGTGCAATCCTAAGAACACTTTCCAAGAGCAATCCCCATTGAATAGGCCCCAGCAGGATTCTGAGCAGTCCTACCTATGCTTGCTCTTTTGATTAAGCCAAGGTGTCACACAGAGCTTGTCCTGAGCCCTGGACTTAACATTGGCTTGTGATTCACAGATGTGGAGACAGCACTGCAGATATCTCACTGACAAGGATATATGTGGCCATTTTGTATGTTTCGCCACCGTCTCTTGCTAGGCCAGTTATTGATTTAGGGTTTATTTTTCTTGAGTTGCATGTTAGAAAAGAATCTCTGATCATTAGGCATGGGCACATTTGTATGAGACTGTCATGGCCACCTACTAAACAGTTCCCATTGCCAAATGCGCAATATATGGATGTACATCCACATAGGCAGCAATGCACCCCTTTAATAACTCAGAAAAATGAAAGTAATCTTTGACAAGCATAACTGACGAGGGCACTGGTTTAATCAAATTCATCACTCTGTTGACTCATATGAGACTTGGGGAATTGGATGCAATTTGAAAAAATGATGAGCAGGCTTTTTCTTCTCCATTATGAATGTATCATGATTCAGCTCCCACTGCTGGATCCGGACTAGAGCCATGGTAAAGTCCAAAGAAAACACCACCCACTAATTACCCCAAATTAAACTTTATTGGTCTTAAAGGTGCCGCTGGACTCAAACTTTGTTCTATAGCTTCAGACCAACATGGCTACCCAGCTGAAGTTACCACTCAGTTCATGATGCCAAAGTTTAAGACCTGATCACTAATTAAAATCTCATTATAAAAACAACAGAACAGACCTGCTGGATTAGACTGAAGGTGCATTCTGATCCTTTTCCTGCACCACAGAGGTTATTTGGGAAGCCAATACAAATCTCAGTTGCGGTGACTCAGAGGTTAAGACGCTGAGCTGCAGACTGCTAGCCTGTAGCTCCACAGTTCAAGACCCTGCTGCCGTGTGACGGAGTGAGCTCCCGTCTCTGGCCCAGCTCCTGCCAACCTAGCAGTTCGAAAGCAAAAAACTGCAAGTAGATAAATAGGTACCACTTCGGTGGGAAGGTAACAGGTGTCCGTGCACCTACCACTTCGGTGGGAAGGTAACAGTGTTCTGTGCACCTTGGTGTTTAATCATGCTGGCCACATGACCACAGAGAAGTCTTTAGACAGCGCTGGCTCTTTGGCTTGGAAACGGAGATGAGCACCGCCCCCAAGAGTCGAATTCGACTGGCTTTCAAGCAAGGGAAACCTTTACCTTTATGACATCAGAATAGAACCTCTACATTCAGACGAAGCATTTCTTGGTTTGTAGATGCTACAAAAACACACAGTTTCCATCATGCCCTGCTGGCTAGCCTCAGTTGAAAACAGAATACTGGACAAAGTTAATATCCTAGCCCGCATGGCTTATTGGGTCCATATGTAGAGTCTTCACAGATGGTTTCTGGTCACAAGTCTGCAAATATTTCACGGGGATAAAAATATATATGTATACCTATTAGCCTTTGTCAAGAATGGCACATATGGGGAATATCAAAGCAACAGATTTCTGTACAGATGCATTCTTCTTTTAGAGCTGGATAATTTATAGCATAGGGAGGGAGAGCAACAACCATTCCTGCCTGTCAATCAAAAAGATGCCTGCAGCCTGCTCAGGGCAGGACATGTCAACAGATGAAATGATTATAGCCATCCTGCCATGTTAGGTCAACAACTCACCTCCCAAGTCGCACACAAGTCTGTCTCATGGTACATCCATTTTCCATTTTCATCCAAAGGATAGATGGCCTCTCCAGGCTGAAGGAAAAGACAAGAGGGAGAGGAAAGATCAGCACTGCATTAAATATTCACCTTTCACATTTTGGGGGTGGGATTTCCTTCCGACACATAGAGAAGGTGTGTCTTCCATTCCTCATCACTCAGCACCTACGTACAAAAGACATGGGTATATAGAAAAAGCAAAAAGAAGCTCAAAGAGGTATGCAGAAGTTTTATTGCCTGATAGCTGCAAGATATGGATGTCCAAATACGAATCTGGGTGTAAAGTTCATCTTCCCTTGAAATGCCTTTAAAAGAATAAAGCTAGGGAAGCAGAATATTTGAGTGGCCCCACTGTGTCCTCTTGAATAATGGGTGTGGGGGACAGTTCACGTTTGAACATCAAATAAAGAATTGTGTTCTGAATATGCTCACCTGCTTTCATCTGTATTATAGTGTGTATCCCCCCACTCTAGTGAAAACATGTGTGTGTCGGGGGGAGGGGAGGGACGGGACCCCCGAGCGCCATCACACTCCCAAATGCATACCAGGAAAAATTACCAAGAAGGTATTTTGATATATTGGACCCCGAAGATCGGTTGAAACCATTAGAAGACCTACCATGGTGGCAAAGAGCGCGAATAGAATCCAGATTTACTAAAGATAAGAGAATCGGATTTTATAAAAACCTTATAGAGATTGGAAAGATTATGACATCTATGGATCAGAAGCTTTTACGAAGATTTTATGCGCTGTTACTTGATGATTTAATGGTGGATGAAATAATAAAAGGGAATATGATTCAATGGGGGCAGAATATTGGGCATGCTGTTAATTTAGAGCAGTGGGATCAAATATGGAAGAAAAATATTAGGATTACGAAAGCTATTCCGTATAAAGAAAACATATATAAAATGTTTTATAGATGGTATGTAACACCTGAAAGGTTAGCTAAAATTGACCCGAAATGTTCGAATAAGTGTTGGAAATGTGAAAATAAGGTTGGCTCATTTTACCACATGTGGTGGCATTGAGAAAGATCTAAGAAATATTGGGTAATGGTACATGAAATCTTGCAAAAGGTACTAGGGATGGTAGTACCATTCACACCAGAGACTTTGTTGTTGAACATTCTACCTGATAATTCTAACAAAGATGATCGTTATTTGATTGTTTTTTTAACTACGGCTGCAAGAATTCTCTATGCAAAGTATTGGAAATTACTGGAGATACCAACAAAATGAGAACTAGTAAATAAAATCTTGGAGGCTGTGGAATTGGATAAATTGACTTTATTGATAAAAGGCGCAACAGATTCGACATTCCAGAATACTTGGTCACGGTTTTATAATTGGTATGATAAATATATGTAGGCAAGCTTGCAAGAGAGAGACTAAGAGTTTACTAAATGAAATATATACCTGTTAGGATGATAGAGACAGAAAAGTTGCTTACACAGTTCATGAGAAATTGTTATTAAGGTGGAATAGGCACCAGTATAAATATTGGTAAAAATTGAAAATAACCTCCATGTATCTGTTTGTACTGTTTCTATGTATGTATATGTTATGATTGTTTGTGTATGTTATGTGGAAAATGTAATAAAACCCTGCCCCTTTGGGGAAAGCTGGAATGTAGATTTGTGCCCTGAATGTGTATATCAAATTTCATACCAATACCTCAGCATCACCACATTAGAAACAGAACACCAGCACACTAATAATTAAAAGATCAGAGGGCTCACTTGGCTTGGCTAATTTGAATCTTTATACTTGAAATTCTCATAGTAGATTAAAGTCAAATATCACGGAACATGGTTTGTGTGTGGAAGTCCTCGTGCCTATACTTCCTGTTTCCTGTATTTCTTCATACTTCCAAACAGAACATTACTATGAAGACCCTATGGCAAGATGCACAAGCTTTCCTTCCACCATGAGCAAAACCAAAAACTATTACAGGCAATAAACACGATTGGTGAGGAACTAGTTTTTCCATCTCTCTCCATTTACAACATCCAATTATTTATATTTTAGTTTGGGAATGTAGGAGGGGTGGAGACTCACCAAGCATTGTTCCACAATGTCATGACATCACTTCTGGTCACATAACTGAAAATGATGCCACCACACTGTGGATACTGTAGGATTAACTTGAAACATTTTGGTAAAACCACTGATGCTGCTGAGTGGCAGCCTCTCCCACATTTCTACAGAAATGCATTTTTTCCTTTAAAGTTAGATAATTTATAGTACAGGGAGGAAGAGGAGGGAGTAGGAAGCCTGCAGCAAGAGGTCAGCCCTTCCTGTTCCTGGAAATTCGCCACAGGGCAAACCCTGTGGTTGGAGGTAATCTTTTACAGTGCAGCATCCCAGTAAGATAAGAAAAGAATGAGTGCAGATTCCAAAGTGTAGACTTCATGGGAACACTGATAATGACTGCCTGCACCACTGGGGAGGGGGGAGGAGTTGGGGCCCAGCTTCATATAAAGTTGAAAGCATGCTTTCTAAGAAAGCCAGAGGTTTCATATGAAAGCAGTAACTGCCATGAAAGGTATCTGAACCCAACCCGGGGATATGTACAGTATATCTCCTCTGGAATAATTAAACATAAGGCACAACCCTCCATGTATATACTTAAGAACTAGGAAGAGTCTGCATTCCACAGATTCTACTTTCTACCTCTGATTTTAAGGATGAACAAAGGTTCATTGATTTCGTATTTTTGTCAGTGGCTTCAGTTCTCTACTGTTTCACTGTTAGTTTGCTAGATTCAATTGCATGGAGTATGCAAGTTGTATGGGTTTTTATTTGCAATATGCGGTATAACTTTATATCTGTTTTCTTGACATGAAATACGTATGGAAACACATTTGGAGTGAGGAAACAACAAGTGGCATGACACAAAAGAATCGTGGGCTTGATTCACACAAGAGAGAACCAACATCGAAACAGGATCTTCAGGCTGAAAGGGCGGCAGAATTTCAGATAGGAGAATCACAGTAACCATTGTCAGGCCTACAGAGCAACGTGGATTTGTTTTGTTTTTGAAAGTAGAAGGTCTGAGATGCATTTCTATAGCTAGTGGGCTGTATCCTGAAGTTTTCCTAACAATGACGTCTTCCCCTCCTGCCCCTTAACGTAAGTGGAACAGAAAGTACTGCATTTCAGAATCAATAATCTTCTACCTAATAATAATTCCAAAATAGTAGCCATTGCAGAAAATTAAAACAGGAGTCCAGTATCTTGTTGATGCAGCCCACAGGGCAAAGCAAATCTCATCCATAGCTTTCATATTTATTTTATCCATTTATTACAGTATTTATACCCACCTTTCCTTTTGGCTCAAGGCAGCTACAATACCTCATACAGCACAATGTCTCATAGTAGACTTGTGTAAAAGGTTTGGCTAGCTCTCGAAAACACTCCTTCCAAGAATTCATATGACCTTCAACCACATAGTTTGTGCAATCTACACCACAATTGCTCTCTACATTAATATGGTATCTGCACAGACTGTGGCTTTATTTATTTATTCCAAGGTGCTTTGAGCGCCACATGGTGGGAATTTAAAAAGGAATAACTGTGTATGGCTGGGTGCCATATGGCTGGCAAAGACCAGATGCCGCCAATTAGTGCTTGTGAAATCAACAGAGAAGAAAAATCAATGCTGCAGGATAGAGAAGTCATAATAGCAGTTAAGCAGAATGCCAAATTGTTGGGGTTGCAATATAGGTCACAGGGCAAGGTCTGAAGGCACGTAATGCAACCACGCTGCTGTAGTTAAATATCACTGAAGTCCAAGGGCATCGTGAATACCAACCAACATTTATTCCAGCATAAGCCTTTGTGAGTCAGAGATCACTTCCTCAGATTCATGGAGAGTTCATTCATAACAATTTATTATTCTTAAAGTTACAAGCAACAAAAGGGTGGTAGTGAGAGGAAACACATTTGAAACAACTATCAATCAAACCAATCCATTCAAAGCGGATGGGGACTATACCTACCTGTTGAAGACGGGCAGAGTAGGATAAGCCATTAAATCTGCTCAAGAAGGTGCAGTGTGAGACTAATTCACATCTGCAGCTCACATCAAGCTATTAATACCTACAGTGAGTGAGGAAGCCCATGTCTTTGTTCAGGGCTGGGAAAGAGCTAGTACTGAATCTCTTGATGAATCCCAATTCAGCACTTTCACATTAGATTCTCCCTTTGATGGATTTCCCTACCAGCTTAAAAAACAAACAAGACAGTAACTTTTAGATAAGCTATAGCATATCTTGGAAGATTAAGATGTCAATCACTGGTTTCAGAATACTGCGATTTTTAGTGTCAGATTTCTGCCCATTTATTCTTTTGCATAGGGACCATTCTGTTTGTTCATGGTAGAAAGGATGAGAGCATTACTAGGAATAGGCATAAACCAGGGAGATGGAGGTTCATCCTGGTTCACAGTTCATGAAGTCACACAAACCACAAACCATGAACCTCGGCATTTATTGAACTGGTTTGGTTTGTGAGGCCTCCTTGAGGCCAGCAGAATGGAAGGGGGGGAGGAGATCTTGCAAAAGCCATTTAAAGGGAACATTCCCTTTAAATGGCTTTTGCAAGCACAGCACCCACTTACAAAAGCCTTTTAAAGGGAATGCTTGGAAGCAGGGGGGAGGGAGTGAAAGGGGTCACTGAAATGCCTTGCATCCATTTCAGCCTGTTAGGCTGAAATAAATGCATGCCATTTCAGCAATCCCTTTCACCCCCCCCCCCACTTCCCAGCACAAACCCCACAAACCTCAAAACTACGTGGAGGGTCATGGGAAGGCCGTGGGATGGCCGTGGATAGGGATGAGCATGAACCTCTGGTTAACGAATCATGAACCAGTGATGTTCATCACAAAATTAGGTTTGTAATGAGGTTCATGCCCATCCCTATTGTTAACACATTGGGGAGGCAGGCACAACACTCTCATTGCATGACAGATACAAAGTAATTGCGGTCATCCACTAACAAACACAAGGACTTGTCACGTGTAGTGATCACTTAAGAGACAGGCATGGCAGTCTGTCAATTTGACATTGACTCCAAATAGCCCACCATTCACATTGTTGCACACCAGGAGAAGCTTTAACACAAGTCCTCTTTTATACCTTAAAAGCCATCGGCAGCTCAATTATGTAGAGATCAACGTAGTCAAGTTTCAAAATGTCTAAGGTCCTCTCCAAAGTTGGGCGCACCAGCTCAGGAGGGTGACATGTGTTCCACAGCTAAGAGGAGACAAAAAAAGAAGAAGAGATGTTAGAAAACACCATCTTAATGAGCTTCAAAATTAAGCACTGCCATCCTTGAAACTTTTAACATTCTGACCAAATTCAGAAGAGGTAGCCAGAGACACCACACTTAGATCCATAACAGCAGACGGGTAGTCGTGGTTAGTCTGTTGTGGCAAAAATAGAATCACAAAATCACAGAGTTGGAAGGGGCCATACAGGCCATCTAGCCCAACCCCCTGCTCAATGCGGGATCAGCCTGGAGCATCCCTGACAAGTTTTTGTCTAGCCACTGCTTAAAGACTTCTAGTGAGGGGGAGCTCACCACCTCCCTGGGCAGCTGATTCTACTGTTGAACAACACCTATTGTAAAAACGTTCTTCCTAATATCCAGCCAGTACCTTCCTGCCCTTAATTTAAACCCATGATTGTGAGCCTTATCCTCTGCTACCAACAGGAACAGCTTCCTGCCCTCCTCTAAGTGACAGCCTAAACAGAAGGCTTGTGGTACCTTAAAGACTAACAGCTCTTCATTCCAGGATAAGCTTTCAGGGACTAGAGGATGTACTCAAGTGTCTGAAGAAGTGGGCTCTAGTGTCCAAAAGCGTATACTGGAAGAATAAGTCCCACAAGGTTTCTGTATATGGAATACTACAGAAATTCCAAACCAATAACAAAACCCAGCATACAACCCGCTGTCTTTGCCATTATTTTTAGCTGATAATTCTACAATTGCATGACTTACAGGTCATGCATAAGTTTGGGAAAGTGAACAAAATGTTTCTCCTAGAACTGTACCCTTCATAAGAACATAAGAGACGCCAATGTTGGATCAGGCCAAAGGCCCATCCAGTCCAACACTCTGTATCACACAGTGGCCAGAAATACCAGTGCCATCAGGAGGTCCAGCAGTGGGGCCAGGACATTAGAAGCCCTCCCACTGTTGACCCCCCCCCAAGCACCAAGAAGACAGAGCATCACTTGCCCCAGAGCCCCTATCTATACCTTGTGGCTAATAGCCACTGATGGACCTCTGCTCCATATGCTTATCTAATTCCCTTTTGAAGCCGTCCATGCTTGTAGCCGCCACCACTTCCTGTGGCAGTGAATTCCAAGTGTTAATCACTCTTTGGGTGAAGAAGTACTTCCTCTTATCCGTTCAGAAGGCAGGTGGCAAGAATCACATGATTGGGTATACCCTCATGTCATTCCTGAAGATTTGGGGGCAGTGCCTTGTGAGGGCAGAGTCTGGGAGAGGAGGGTTCTCAGCCAGGACACGTGATGCCATAGAGTCCCTGTGGCATCCTCACATATAGGGGAGACAGTTTTACCTTTACACGCTTTATGTACCTAAACTTGGTAGTTTGCTGCTGCCACCAGGAATTAAAAATTCCAATTTCTCTCTCTTTTGGTAGTATGACCAAGGGTCTGGGCACCTCAGAGAACCATGTGGCCCTGAGGAAGCACTGTACTGATTTCTGGGATATGTTTAAACAAAAATTGATTTATTTAATAAAGAACAAAACAGGTTTCTGGTTAATTTGAACAGTTGCTGAAGAAAGGGACTTGTAAATATAACTGGCAAAACTTGGTGTTACAAACAGTCACTCAGACTTCACTCTGACAGGTGTATCTCTCTCTCTCACACACACACACACATATATATCCACACAGGCTAAGCTCTTTGTCTTGGGCACCCAAGATAAAACATTTGTCTAACCACACAGTTTAGACACAACTTGTTTCTTTGCCATAAAAACTCTCTCACAAAACTCTTATAGTCACACAGACTCTCTTCAAAACTCTTCCATACTTGTCTCTCTCAAAACACAGCATCTCCTCATAGACACACACACAGAATCCTCTCAGAACATCTCCTTCCACACTCTCAGTCAGCAGCCAATCACAGCACACTCATCTCCCCCTATCGCTCTCCTTACGTTACTGCAGTCAAACACAACATTTAAAGACACACACACACCAAAACATGGAATCACTACAGTCCTCTCTTCTGAAGCTGCCATTTCCTTCAGGGAAACTGATCTGGATGATGAGTTGTAATTCTTTTAGGTGCTGGGCCAAAATGTTTCTGTTCACCCAGGCTTTTAATTAAGGGGATGATTTTTTAAAAATACTGTTTTCGCCTGGAAACTGCTGTTGAGTCAGATTCAGTATATAAACATGTTTACATTTGATTCGGAATGTAAATGTGTTTCCTTACACACCAGCTATCTATTTTTCTTGTATCAAGATGTGTCAACACCATTTCTCATGTTTATTGGAGAGTTTTATTTAACAAGATAGCTTGTAGGGAATAAAGGGTTGCCCAATTCATTTCCTTACTGCAGAATTTCAGGTGTATTTTAGTCACATGGCTCCCATGATCCCAAGCGTAGCTTTTTTGGTGATCAAAAGTGGCCCCTCCTCCCTCTTTTGTCAGTGGAAAAGTTGGTAAGATCCAACCCAAAGACCTCCTAGCTGAGGCTATTAACCATGGATATTTTTAGATTTCCCCGTTTCATAATAGATTCTCCCCACATTTAGGCCTATTCAGTTCTACCACGTTCAGCCACTCAAAATACTAGAAAGTTGTCCAATTATCGCATTGTCCCAGCACATCTCTGGGGACACTGCTTTTAGTTTCTTCAAAGAACAGATCTCTTGGACTGAAATCGAAAGGGACAATTCGACAGAAGGGGGGGGGGACCCTCCAGCATTTGCAGTTGGGACAGGTTGGATTTCTCCCCCCACTCCATGAAATGTACATGCAAAAAATGCATTTCTTTAAGCAATATGCCAAAGTACAACCACTGATGATTTCAGCCAGCAAATATTTTATGACAGGGCAAAGTCATTATTCCAGGGACTCTGACACTTAGAATCATTTCAGTAATTTTGCCATGGACATATTTCAGAGATCTAATAACGAGAGGGGGG